ATATATTAAAATTATATATATTTATCTGAAATATTTGATGGATGGAATAGCAACAGAACACTATTGGAAGCTGTCAGTGGTGACAACTTCCCTCTGTGGAAAAGCCGTATTTGTTAGAACGCTAATATCATCATAGTCGTGAAGGTCTGTGGACAACTCTGTCTTGTATGCATTGGGTACACTTCAGCTGCACAATTCCTTTCAAAAAGGATAAATAATTTGTATGTGACAAAAATAGGGACATTCATCTAAAATGCAGCATATCTTTATTGTAATATATTGTAAATATAAAAATTTAGGAGTTTTAGAAAAGTTTAACCATCACAGTAAATTAGATTTGTTGCTTTTGGTTAAGAAACTAAGAATAATTCATTACTTAAAATTCTCTGAGGGTAAGTAATTTAAGAGGTAAGAAAAGAAAAATGTTTAAGAAAATTTTACATACTGAAATTTGTGAGTAACAGAGGTGTGTGACATAAACTGATAGTCATTGATGTACTCCAGTAATCAAATATATTGCTTGATCCATTTTTTTTTTTCCAGCTGTACTCTTAAGGTCATGGGTGATGAATTTTAAATAAAATACTGTTAGATAAGCAGGAGAAGGGACCAACTGAAACTTAATCTGGCTTCCTCAGTTCACCAGGAAATGCCTTTATCATGGTTACTTCTGAATTTCTTATTGGTTGTTTAGTATTTGACCATCCTATTCTGAATGATGGTGAAGAACTGAACTGGAATTTAATTTCGCAGCGTTTTAATGTTCACCTAGTGCTGTAGGACTTTGCTGTGCTAACGACTTATTTTGAAAAAAAAAGTAGGGGTTTTTTGCTTGTAAATATAGTTGTATAAATAAAAGTTGTATATAACAAAAAGACATTCCTTTTTCCTCAAAATGCAGAATTTCTGTGAAAACAGAGTTAAAAATTAACAATATAGTAAAAAAAAATACAACCCTTTTTCAATATTCCCAATTTCAATAGTTTTCTTCTAAAACATGGCTGGAGAGTTACGCGGTGAGAGTGCATTTCCGAACTGAACTGTAGCGGCACTTGCTAGTTCAGCACCACTGCTGTTTGCGGAGGGCTGTGGGCTCATCTTCTGGGTCACTCTGCAAGAGACAAGAAGTGCTTGAACGCAGTAAGCAGTGCCCTGAGCTAGTCTCCTTCCATTGTGGTTACCTTGTACTTGGCTTAATCATTGCAGAAGTGATCTTGAAGCAGTCCAGTGCTTTCCCTTGTTGGGGAATGTATCTGTTGTGGAGCTGAAGGGACCTACAAGAGATACAAAGCAATGAGAAAACTTTGATATTTGGAAGAGTTTGGAAGAGGGATGACCAGGCTGTTTTCACTTGCTATGTAGCTGAAAGGAGTCGTGATACCTGCAGCACAAGTTGGGACAACTTACAAAGCTGGTTTTATCTGCCTTGGAGACTTGACTGACCTCTAACAGCTCTGACAACTTGTGCGTTCAAACTTCTCTCCTCTGTAGCCCCCGTGCTGGAGTGGGAATGACTATCCATAGTACAAAAATCTTAATTTGGCTGTCAGCTCTTATCAAAGCCATTACTTTGACCCAGACCAGGATGATCTCACACATTTGTTCTTAATGAGAATATGAAGTTAGTGAACGCTATTCAACATTTATGGATCAAAATTAACTTATCTCCTGTTTTGATGAAATTGCAAGCGTGTGATGGGTGTGTAAAATAAATAAACCAGTAAAACCTGGGTTAAATTGAGGTTCATTCTGCACAGGTTTAGTCTTCTGGGATTTGTGGTAAATATATTTACAGAGGCTGTAGTTTCTTCTTGACATTGCCTGCTTACAAGTCCACTTCCTAAATCTTAGCTTAATGAACTGTGGCATAATTTCCTTTTCAGTAACATTTATTTTAGGATTTGAACATTTAGATATTCAGCGTGGTAGGATTCTTTTCAACCACTGTGAAAATGCTTGCATTGAAATCTGGCCAAGAAAAAGGTTTCTCTCATTGTCCTGCTTAGAAAACAGCTATGCTGCTCAAGGCCTGAGAGATTAGAAGAGAGCTGCACAATCTAGGAAGAGAGCAAAAAGATACAGTTTTAATTTTGGATACAGTTAGAGTTTGTGTGAGGTATCAGCACTGTCTGGGGAAGTGGTTACATCTGCCTGCACTGGCTGCTTTTCCAGTCCCACACCACCTCTTCATGCTGGCATATGTATTCATGTGGCCTTGAGGGAAAGCAAAATTAAAACTGTGTATTGATCAAAACTACATTTTACCAAAAAAAGGGAGGAAGTTTTAGCTTAGATCAACTGGCAAAGGGAAAATACATTTAAGGAGCAGGACTGTTTCTTTTGTGACACTCTTGACTTACGCTGGCTTGAAGTGTTTCTGAAACCACGTCCCTAAGCACTGGCTGCTAGCAGCACATCAAAGGAATGGGTTTAAAGCCTTATCATTCTTTCTTAGCCTTCCCTCAAAATGATAAAAACATTTTCTGGATTCAATTTAATTTACAGGGTTCTGAATACTACTGGTGATCTTATTAATGACAGAAGGCTACTAGAAAAAGAAGCAAAAACTCTGGGTGTGAATTTTTTTTAATTTTAGAGTATCAGAACATAAACATATGGATGTATAAAATTATTTATTATTTTCACAGCTACTTAGCTTGTGCTTTCACTCACCGTGGAAAACTTTCCCATTATTTTTGGTCATCTGGTTTGTGTTGGTTCTTTTGGGGTCTGTCTTGTTTTTTGGTTGTTTGTAGGCTTTTTTTTTTCCTGCCTACAGCTTTTTTAGATGAGCAGATCTGGGTTTGGTTCCAGGTGAATTGTACACATCCACCTGCTATACACAGAGAAGAAAATCTAGTCATCTTTTCTACCTCAAGGGCATGACTTGTTCTTTCCCTGTGACAAAATAAGTAGTAAGACTTTTCTCACACAATGAACTCTGAGTTTTGGAAAATATATAGTATCAGATCCATAGCAGGCTTTTGCACCTGCTTGTGTAGCACACAACCTGCTAGCTGTGTTCCATGTACCATTAACCTAGCTCTCTGTACAGATTGGCACAGTGCACCTTTTCACATTTTACAAAATTAAAACAGCTTGCATTTTCTGCCACTTAAATGTAGGAGCTCTCCTTGCACATTTCATTACAGAGTCCTCTAGTAAAAACAGTACAACTAATATATGTTTTTATTGCAAAAGATGGAAAAAGCCTTACTAAGCTTACAGAATATCACAACTCTAAAGCATTGCTGTCTTTGGGTTCTGCAATTACACTGCAATTACTAGATCAATTTAGATTTATTTATGGCTAAACCAATGAGAAATAAAGCCTATAGCAAAAAAAAACCCAATTTATTTAAAAGTAGTACCAATACTTGTATTTCCATAAAACTTTGGATTTCACCTACAACGTAATCTTCCCTCTTTCTTTTGTACTGTTATATGATTTTGTCCAGAACAGTTAAACCATTGGTCTGTGATAAGATGGAATTCCAGTTTTGTGAAGAAAAGTTAAACAGACCAAACTTAGTTGTTAGATAAAACTATTACCATTCTGAATGCTTGGTTCACCACTATGGCATCGTGAAGAATTCTTGATACTATCTGTGAATAGCATTCATAACCTCTGCTATTTGTCTGAGTAAACGTCAGAGTGCTCAAGGAGAGAGCGATATTAAACAGACTACCTTGTACCAGAATGGGAGGGGTGGGGGAGAACAGGGCACAATATTTATGACTCCAGGAACTATAAGTTGTAATTTAATGAGATCAAAGCATTTGCTGTTTATTTGCTGCACTAGGAGCTTGGAATAAACTGGTAAGAAAACACGTACCAAAAAAAAAGCAGGATATTTAAAAGATTATAAAGACTATAAAATCAAAGGCATATTTTAGATGGAAAATCATGCTGTAGAAGCCTTTAATATAAAATTAATTTAGCGTTCTCCTGAGATTAAGTAATTAATGTTTCAGGAAAAGCAAAGATCCTCCAAATTTATAGCCAGTTCCTGTTTTTACCAGATAGTCTCTGTTCTTCCTTTTTACCTCCTAATTCCCAGGAACATACACAGTAGTTATAATAGGTACTTTATTCCTATTGTATATCTTAGTGTAGGAGGTTTTACCAATACCAACTCAATGTCCGCTTCTAATACACTTCTTGGAAGAGAAAATACCAAAATGCTTAAGTATCATAAATACTTCAAACGGAGTAAAATTAGCACAATAACATTTTACCTCTGAAAATAAACTTTTAGCCATGTGTGACAAGTTTAAAATTTAGCAAGTTGGTCTTACGAATTTCAGTTTCTCTAATTTATTCTGTTGTTTCCATACATTATTTAAAAGTAGAGCATGACTCAAGATAGTTTAAAAGATTTGTCTTTGTTTTGAATTGCAATGCCTATACTGGATGAACTATTTATACGTGTTTCCTGTGTTAAGGAACTAAAGAAAGTAACTACAGACTTGGTAAGGTCCAAGGTCACCTCTCAGTACAGGGTGGGAGAAGAAAACATCAATCTTGCAGCAAAGGAAAAACAGTTTCAAGAACTGCAACAAAAAATCAGAATGGTACTTTGGAATTTAAACAAATTAAATTTTTGGTGCATATTTTCTGTTCTTCATTCGGCAAATATCATGGCAATGATCTCCCTGATGCATACAGATTAGTGAATCCTTTCTACTAACTGCATGTACAATATAACAAAACTGTTTCCATAATGACCTTTTCTAGGGAAGTAAATACGCTATGAACATAAGTGTAATCTTATAGTAAAAAATGTATAGATTTTCAAAATAAATCTGTTTATATAAATAGCCTTATGATGATTCACAACATCACATTAACACAATATCATTAAAGAAAATAGACAGTAATTTTAAATGCCTTTTACTGTTCTTCATGCTCTTTTTGAAGGAGACGGCAGTTAGTAAAAAAGTTCAAGAAGAAAACACTTACATTAAAGAAGAAAAGTTGGTGAGCTGTTAATACAACTTTGCTATTTAGAAATCACTTACAAATATATGTGCTGTATTTCATATTTAAGTTTCTTAAATTACTATACTCAGCTATTAAAACTAATTAAATTCACTTGTTTACACTTCAGGAATATTTTAATGCTAACATAAATGGGATCTTACTCCTCAGTTTTTAGGAAGTATATTACCAGAACAAAGTCCGTTGTTTGACACTTTATTCCAAGACTTAACTTTTGTCTTTGAATTCACATGGGAGGAGTATGGTAAACCCATGAAATAGTTGTTTATGTATTGGTTCAGTACAAATAAGCAAAAAAGTTTGCATAACATGCTTGCTGTTCTGGTTGCCAACAGTTTACTATAATACTGCTGGCATTGAAACCAGATGAAATTGGAATCGTGTCAATCATATACAAAAAATGGTGTTCCATTCAGACAGAACATATATGTTTAGAATATTAAGCTACAACTATACATAGCTGAACAGGGTTAAGATTGTTTTCTATCGCAAACTCAGGTATATTCCAGAGCAAATCCTGGTACTCATACAAGGTACATGAAGTCAAGTATCAAACATAGCAAAAAAATTATGTTCCCTGTAATAACAGCATAATACACTGCAGAACATTCAGTGTAAAAAGGGTGGTTGATTTTTTTCTTAAACAGTTGCAGAATTTTCATTCTGCAGTTCATTAAACCAAACACGTCAAAGAAGTGTATCATTCTTGTTCTCAGGGAGGGACAAAAGCAGCACCTTGCTTGTACATCCACTGAGCACTCATTGAAGGCTAATCCGGCAGTACTCTTCCAATCCGTAAAAGCTTGTTTGCGTTATGAGTTTGCTTTTTAAAAATACTTGCCAATAAACACGGGGAAAAAATGAGAGTCATACTCAGGCCTCATTACTCCCACAGCCCTGAATGCACTAAAAGCGTTTATATGGAGATGCTAGTAGCATAACTCATGTGCATGTTTGATAAGTGTTATCTAGGAGAAGGACTCTATTTTGTTTCTCTGGTTTGTTCTGTGTAAATTGCTAGGGGTTGCTTGGTTGGTTGGTTTTAACATATAGAGGGGTTTGGTATAAATCAGGGGAGGGCTCTGATATAGAGATGAACTTCATGTTTTCTCCAAGACCTTGGGTTAGAAGTCATGGATTCCTGTATTATAGAGCACTACAAGTTCACCATCTGGCTTAAATGAAGATGTGGTCTTCAGTGGTTCTTGCACTGAGGCTGAATATACTGTCTAAATTGTATCTGATTTACACAGAACTGTAAGCAGAGAAGCAATCTTGTCTAGTTGAGTGAACACTTTACTACATTTAAAACACATGGCCAAGTCTGCTGCCAACCTGTCGGAAACACGGGGCAAGCCATTCCACATCTCTGTGGTTCAGTTTTCTAGATGTAAAATTGATAAATTAAGCTGCAGTGTAAAAATATTATTTATCTTTGCATAAGAGTATACATGGATGAAAATTAATCAGAGTGCACCCAAACCAATGATTTTGTTTTGAGTAGATAGTTGTATCTGTTTATACAATAGAACCAAAATTAGATAAATTTGAAAGCTCTTTGCAAGTATGTGGAAGTACTTTGTTTTAATATGTTCCTCTCAATGTATTCTGAAGCAACTGAGCACATGGAAAAGAGTCTTCTCCCTGAAACTCAGGGTTTTTTTTTTCTGTACAGGTCTTCTTTTGGTAACTGCTGCTCTGGTCTGTAGGGAGTAGAGATTGGCTTGGCTAGATCTTTCCCTCTGTCTTTGAATCTTTGGAAATGTGTTTCGTAGTGTTTAATACAATATGTCTCTGTCTCCGTTCCATCCATGTTTTCAGCTAACTGCAACAAATGTAATGGCAGCACCCGTGGGTTTGTAAATCTATATCACCTTAATCAACGCATTTTGGGTGGCACTTTTTTTAGTATTTATTCTTCTTGAAGTAACAATTGATGAAGCTGCCATAAAAATTCAGTAAATGACGGCAAAATGTAATGTACTTGCACCATATGATGCAAAGCTAATGTGTGGTAGTTCACATCTATTAGGATTTAATTCAGGAGATACAGAATAATGTCACATAAGGGTGATCCATTAATGGAAGTGATTCATTGCTTGTCATATAATTTGTCTGGGATTTTCCGTATTTTCTGGAACTGTAATATGATACCATAAAATTATTCTGTTGGATTAATTGAACTCACGGTGGGGCTGGATTTGATATATTTTATTCAGATTTGCACTGAAGTATGTTTAAAGTATTAATGGATTGTTCATTTTAATTATAAGAAAATTCTCTGAAAAACAATGTTGTAATAATGTTATCTTCTGCAAGGCAAAAGGCCAGAAAAACCTGGAGTTCTTCTGATTTCTTCCTACAAGCCCTTCCCCACTGTTGATGTTGGAGTATATTTTTATATACATGATTTTGTAAACACTGACAGAATAAAAATTAAATATGTTAAGCTAAAAGACATAAATTATCTAATGTTTAAACTCCAGAAACACAATCTTATTCAATATATCCCAATTTGTTTGTATTAATAAGGAAATTCTCAGCTCTCTACAATGTGTGCAGGAGCTGCTTCAGCGAATAACCCAAGCGAATGTTAGAATGGAAAGCGAATTAAATGCACTGAAAGAACAGTATCAGGTCAGATTTTTCTTGATTAGACAAGCTGCTGCTATCTGTTATGTATTTTTTAAGTCCAGGGCTGTTAAAGACATCTGTATGCTTTTCAGAACTTTTGACCTCACTTCCATTGCTCCCTCAGCTCCTTAACTGTCAGCATGAACCCTGAAGCGCAGGCTGTGGTTTCCCTCTTTTTGTTCTCCCCCCTAAAGTAAATCATGGTTGCTATTCTTATCAGCCATTTCTGGAGGGTAAAACCAGAACGTATTGGGGGATGCTTTCAAGTATTTTGAAATCAAATGGTTTTATGACTTGTTTCCTACAATTTTCATGTTCAAATTTCTTTTCTGGAAAATACTTCGGATTGCAGATCTTCACAGCCAGAGCTTATCCCCAGTTTTATGAGAGCAGAGAGCCTAAGAAAGAGCATACCCTAGCCATTTCTTGCTGTGTTGTCTGGTGTCATACTTATCCTAGAGGTGGTAAGTTGTCATGCTGGAGAGTGTGGAATTGCAGCATTCCTCAGTTCCTCTGTGAGCATGTCAAAGTGGCTCAGAACAGTTTAGATTCTAAATTACACTAGCAGTCAGACTGGCCCCCAGTGCACTAAAGATTAAGGTCATATCTGTTCCTATCAGATATGCCATGCAGAGTTCAGGTACAACCATTAATCGGACTATTAATAATTATTAGCTACTGTTTGTCCATACATAACCACAATTATTCCATTCCTTGCTTGGCCTGTGAGGCCAAGGTTTTGAACTAGGATCTCAGGTAATTTCAAATTAAACTTCCTGTGTGCATGTTTACTTGTGTTTCTAAGTAAATGCTTCTATGCTAAATTGAAATTAGATTCCCTTCACATAAGTTTTTGCTTTGTCTTTTAAGAGATGTATGCAGTTTGCCTTCTGCCACAATATATGAATTTTGCATTTTGATGAAACAAGTAAGGTTAAAGATGAGTTACGTTTTCCATCAGAAACTAGCTAAAATTTCACTAGGAATTAAAGTACCTGCTTTGTAATACTGGATAAAGCTGTAGGGACTGGAAGAGAGAGAGAAGTCACTGATTTCAGATGTCTGGGTTCTGTGTTTACATTAGTCTAGAGCATTGGATTTTCGTGACTTAAAATGCTTTGATCTCAGAATGCTCTAGAACCGAGAAGAGATGCTTCTCAACCTGGAGAACAGTCCCACCAGTTCATTATGAATCTTCAGAGTTCTCCAGTTCCTCTTTCGTATATTGTCTCATTAAAAAAAAAACAAAAATTTAAATTACAAAGCTCAGTTTAATGGGAAAACTTTTGTGTTTTTCTTAGCATATTTGAAACTTTTTACAAAGATTAATTTAATTAATTTAACAGTCCCTTGGCTGTAGAATTGCCTAAAGTAGCATGATTTTGTGTAAAACCTCTGTAATTCATATGTTGGGTCCAGTGAAACAGTGCATGACTTCCTACTCATGCAGTACTGTTTTTTGTTGAAGTAAGAAGGTAACATGCATTTTATTTCAGATGATTGAAATTACTTTCATGAAGCCTAAGATAATTTAATTAGTATATAACATTAATGATGATGACTTTAGTAATACAGGGGGCCCTTTAGGATCTTTGTATCAGGATTATTGAACAGCAGGTGTATTCTAAAAATGCTTTTTTCTCATAGTATTACAGAGCTCTTGTTTCCCATCTCAGATAAAGTTTATAGTATGCCTTAAAGCTCCAGCTAAAACTGTGAATTGTATCTGTGAATCTTACCTTTGAGGACTCCACATAAATATCTACAAGTGTAAGAGAAGTATAGCTTGTTTTCTTGCTGTTGAGGTAGGAATTGAGTACAAGTCTCTGTTTTGCAGCCTGTACAGGCCAACAATTGATTTCTGATAGCAATTATACTAATTCTGATTTGAGACCCTGCTTTCATTTGGGTCCTATTTATATTAGACATGGGGAAGGCATTAATGTTTCCTATTTTTCTAACTACAGGACAAACTATTTCTAGTCATCAAAGCTTCAGCGTAGTCCTCAGGTATAAGTACTTCAGATGAAATTGGTGTTACAAGACATGGGTAACTAATAAGAGGCTCTTGGTTCAACCTTTGAAAGCTCTGACAGCTCCTCCTATACGAGGCCTCCTCAGTACTTCGTTTGATGTAAATACTCCTTAGTCTTCATTGTGGCACTTAAGATCAGCTAAGATTTGACCTCAGTTGAGTTTTGAGAGCATTCTGTGCATTCTCAAAACCAAGACATTCTCACTTGAGAATGGGAATGGAAGGATTCATAACATTTATATAAGCACATATAAGTGAAAAGCTTTCAAGAGATCACATCTGGAAACATAAAAGTATCTAGATATTTTAACAGATGTGGTTTTCTGTAAACCCAACAAATACATGCATAAAATCCAGCGATTCCCTTAAACAGCATGATGTAAATATGATGCTGTATTAAAAGTGATGTCATACCTTCTTGTTCTTTCCATATGAACTCACGGGGTTATTTTGATTTGTCAGAAATGTCTATCTACCTGTTTAAACAGTAGTCATAAAATATTGTTGCTTTTTATAGATGCTTGTTTGGCTGACAGTTTGATACAATTATAGGGATATTCCAGGGAATGAAACGTTAGCTGCTTGTTTTGCAGTGTCACTTTTTTAAAGCAACAAATGGAACTTCTAAAATAGGGAGCTGAGTATATAACTTGGAGGGTCTACCCACTTCCCTGCCAATCTGAGAGCTATTGCTTTCATCTTTATTGATTCTAGAACCACCATACGATGAATGGGTCTGAAGGTTATGTATTATTCATATGCTCTATCCTACATCCCTGTCAAATTTGTGGACCTTGCTCACCAAGAAAAACTTTCTTCAGAATAATAGAAAAGTTGAACGGTAACTGTACAGTCCCATGGAAATATTTTTATTCTTACAAAAAACTACTGCTTATTTTTTGGCTTGAGATGACAGAATGCTTAAACTTGCAAGGTAACATTCAAGAAGGATCATATTGTCCTTTCCCATTCTATCTAATCATACTTAGTGCTAGGATACTAATGTCCTCATGAGTTCAGAAAAGCAAGTTATAATTCTTTAACAGAGGACAGAATGCTTGAGAATGCAAGGAATTCAGGTATTCCCCTCTCTGTGCAATTTGCTTTAACATATGATCAGTTCTATTCATCTGCTACTCCTGCTGTTTTGCCCTGAGAGCTGTGCTGTGAATAACTGCCACATTCCATCACAGAGGAGGTTGCGAGTAAAAGCATCCTTGGAGTTAGAGCAGGTTTATCAAAGAGTGGTGGTCTTGGACTCCTAGTTTAAAGAACTGGATGAAAGGTGCTCAATCAGAGTGCGATTATTCAGACAAAGTATGGTTGGATCGTCTCATCTTTTTAATTATATAATCTGTCAGAGAAGAGCCTTTATATTCTTATGCACAACTTTTTCCATGTCTGTAGAAATACAAGGTAGTCTGAATTTTCCTAGAGTTAATACCTGTAAAATATATTTGTATTAATAGCATAGCTAAATTAACATAGGCATTCTAAAATGGTTGCTAAGTGAATCAAGAAGTAGACTGATTTTTAGTTAAAAGATTAAGTAAAAAGGAATCGCTTTGGAGTATTGCTTCCATAACTTAACATTTTTCAAGTGGACTTTCAAAGCAGCTCAGTGAAGTCATAAATATGTAGCTGGTCACATAGCTACATGCATTAAGGTTATGTTTACATTATCAAATATATTTGTGTCATCTATATAGTAGATAATGGATGCAGTAAGTCCTTTATCTTTCATATTGTTTGCTATAAAAATATGATAGGATAAAAATTCCAACAGTACTTGAGAAGTGTGTGAAGTTACTACTGATTTACACAAGACTGCTTTAATTTAGCACAGTAAAGCTGAAAGACTTAACCCAAAAATGCTGCAACTACAATTATGATAGTATAAAACTTAATATTACTGTTATTTGAATGCACTCCTATTCTATTTCAGTGATCTAATAAAAATAAATTAAAGGATAATCAGATGTAACTTCATGTTCCAGTTGATATGGTTTAGAATTTAAAGTTTATACAGTTTATAAGAGAGGTTAATAAACAATTTGGGATAGAAAAACTGATCAGAAAAATAAAAATACTTTATTTGAGTATACAGTAGGTTTTTCTTTAAGTACAATGGGTCTAGATTGTGCTACATTTCATATTTCTCATCTCTGGACTTTATATTACTTTTTCATCACATTAAAACTTATGCAGTGAAACTGAATAATGGCAAGTGTTTTTATATCCTTTTATAGCCATTTCTTCTTTCATAACCTCCCCCTGTTTCCTGTTAGCTAAACTATAAGCACCTTTCTGTTAATTTATGAAAATTATTGTTGAGATAGCACATTATCACTGATCTGTATGGCACTTCCAGCATGTTAGAAGCAAAGGTCCAAGCAACATAAAACACATCAAAATTCATTAATGTGGTATTGATTATTTTTTGGATAATTAATTTTATTGCAGACCCTTGAAAGAGATAATGAGCTGCAAAGGGAGAAGGCAAAGGAAAATGAAGAAAAGTTCCTTAATCTTCAGAATGAGCATGAGAAAGCACTAAGAACTTGGAAAAAAGATGTAGGTTTATTAAATTAAATGTTAAAGTATTAAAAGGTTTTTGAAATAGTCATCAAGCATTTCAGGTAATTCCTAAAAGCCAAGAAAATGTTGCAGAAATAATACAATAAAAACAACCCATTTCTTTTCCAATAATGCAGACTCTACTAGAAATTAATATTTTTAAAACGTAGTTTTAGGAGAAATGATGATTTCTGTGCTCTAAAAGGTCAGTGCACTTCCTGTAGTTCTGTAAAGCAAGAGCCAGGATTATTGGGTGTTACCTTGAATTCAGCACTCAAATATTCCAGAATGACACACTTGCCATTACCTAGACATGGAAGGTGTTACAAGTTTTAATTTACATGGAATTTTACGTATTTTTTTCAGGAAATTTGCAATTTTTTTACACAACTTATTCAGAGAACACCAGCATTTCTAGGCTGCACTCTTGTACCCTGAAAAACCTGTCAGTAAACTCTCATATGGTAAAAAAAAACCACACAGACTGAAGTGACACAGACTAAAGGTACTTCTGGAGGGCCATAGGCCCAGGTAAAAAAAGAAAAAAAAAAAAAAAAAAAAAAGAGGAAAAAAAAAAAAGCAACCTCAAACTGAATCATGGAGAGATACTGCAGGCTTGCATTAAAGCCGAGGTCCTGATTTGACAGGAATTATTCCATGTGGATTATGGGGTGAAAGGAGACAAGAAAAGGTAAAATTCTGTACGTCCTCTCAGTGTACACCTCTGTGTGCACCTAAACAATAATTTGTCTTCAATATTTGCCATTTCTTCTACTACTTCGTTACTTTTAAAGAATACTTCAGTAATTATTTTAATCCAAAATCATTAGCAAAATATTGTAGCTGTAAAAATGGTCTCCAACAATAATGCATGTTTACAAGAAAAACTAATGCTTCTTTAGTAAGACAAGATCTGTTTAGTGTGTGGAACCCAGACTCTGTCTTTTTTATTTCTATGTAATTGGCACCTACTGCCAGAAAAGTTTTGAATTTGTTAGACACATTCTCAGGGAGGCTGTGGGGAAATAGTACAAAGTTGTCCTTGTAATCCTGTTGTCAGACTCTTTTGAGTGCAGCCACTATGGAGATGACTGCAACTATGACACTACAAAATAGCTGAACTGCTCTGATGCTCGCTGCCCTGAGAAGACTTGATCTCCCTGATTCCTAGGAGGGTCTTATATCATAGTTTCCTGTATAGACATGGGAATTGGCCCTGCTTACTTCTCAGGAATGTTAGGAACTATTCTTTAGAAGATACTATTTTTTCTGTCCTTCCTCTCCATGTTTCTGCTATGGCTAACTAGAAATTCGTACTCTTAGTGTCTTAAACTATAGTGTCATCATGGATCATGTTAACATTATACACTGCTCTGGAAATATTTGTAAATGATATGAAGGTATTTGTGTAAAATTGCCCTTCTGTTCTTTTTACAGCTTGTATTTTTGACCATCTTTTTTTCTTTTTCAACACAAAAATTTAACTGTTACATACTCACTGAAGCACTGGATACTTGAGGGTATTTACAGAAGTGCCAAGCAAACTATTTGCTGTTGTAGTTTCTTGATAATGTAGGTAGAGAATGAATGTTGCCTCGCACTGAGCCAAAAAAGGAATAAAGCTACAAATACAAATCTCACTTTATTAAGCATTGCTACTTGAAGTAAATGGTGAAAACCCGCCTATAAATAAAAGGTACAGTCTGTAATAGAAAGGTGGTTAAAATTTTGGTTTGAATGAAAGAGCTCAAAATTATCTTATTTCGTACAAAGATATTCTTAGCATCTGTACTTTCTTTTAAGGTTTACTTTAATTTTCTAAGCTGCTGAGACTCCTGTGAAATACTGTTTTATGTATTTGAACATGCAGTAAAGATCTGTGTTTGTGTGTTCTGTGTACCCTCAATTACTACAGGAGGAAAACATGAGAAGAGAAATAGACACTATTAAAAATGAGCTGAATTCCATTAAAGGAGTTCATAGACATCTTGAAGATCCTCCTCCTCCTCTGGGAAATCAGCATTCTGAGCAAGTGGCAACTCTGCAGGTCAGTGTCTCTAATAGCTGCAGTGCTTTCCATTTCTCGTAAAAATATTAAAGAATGAGAGACACGACAGTTTTTATAATCTGGCTGTCATGTCCACTGATCTTCCTTTGACATTGCTAAACCTAAAAATTTATCTGATGTAATCAATGATCCAAGATCCCATTAAAACTTACCGTACCCAGAGAATGTTCCCCTTTCATCCAGAGGGGCACTTATATCATAGAAATTTGAGATGTTACCTCATTAATAAATTTATACATAATAGATAGCAGTTATCTTAAATAATCTATCTTTACTAAATCCTATTTCACAAACATTTTTAATGGGTGTTTCCCAAATACTGTGGCAGACCCGTGGGCTTCACAGGTATATAAGTTCCCTGGAAGTGTTGAAGTAAGTCCACTTCTACTCAGAGGAACTCATTTCAGCCTTTGTAACATGGGACAGATCAGAAGATTAATTTTATCAACAAATAGGTTATCTAAGCTCTTCAGTTTCAAAAAATATCCCCAACCTTTGTTTCACTTAGCGTCTTTAAGAATCATCAAAGGCATAGCAGGCTCGACAAGTAATGAATGCAGGAGGTAAAAGACTGTTTTATGCAGCACAGATTGAACTAGAATTGAGCTTGCATTGCTGGGTGAACCAAATCCATGTTCAGCTCAGAGCACATATGAGAAGTCAACAAGTTGGCAAGCACATGGAGACAGTCTTTTGGAGCAAAAGGAAGCACATGTAGCCCTCCAGCTATGTGTTATCCCTTACTTAAACAGGATTGCAAATGTATATTTTAGTCTTTTAGAAGACTGAAAAAAATAGAAAAAGCCATAAACCGTAAGAAAAACTTTC